GATAGGTACCAGTTGCCACGTTGTCCTGTTTCTGACATTTCACTATTGAATATTCGTGTACCTTTATTTGCTAATTTCACCATGTTTCGTCTCCAAACTTTCCGTGCAAATCCAGCAGGTGAAATAGGGACTTTAAGTCGTGCCAAGAGGACTGAATTACAAACTCTTGCACATGAGTATCAACTAGAAGTTCCCTACCAAGCCAACAAAAATGACCTACACAACCTGTTGCTGGATTACTATTTAGAGCAAGGTAAGATAGACTCTGAAACTCATGAAACTTACTATATTGCAGAGAAAACTGACTTGGCAACGATGAAACTTAAACTAGAGCTGGCCAAGATTGAACGTGAGCAGCAAAGAGAAGCAGCTGCCATACGGAGGGAAGAACAAGAACGCGAAGCTGCTTTGAGGAGGGAAGAACAAGAACGAGAAATCACCCTCAGAGAACGCGAAGCTGCTTTGAGGAGAGAAGAACACGAACGTGGACTCGCCCTCCACGAACGTGAGGTCGCCTTGCTCCATGAACGTGAGAGAGTACAGCTTGAAACAAAACAACGCGAGTTGGAAATACAACGCGAACATGACAAGCAACAAGCGACTCTGGCTCTAGAGTGTCGTCAACGCGAAATCGCCTTGGAAACTTCACACTTCACTCAACGCCAGCAAGCTACTGCCAATCTTCCCGTCAGTTTTAATATATCACATGCAAGTAAGTTAATGCCATCCTTTGTAGAAGCAGAAGTTGATGTGTTTTTCACCACCTTTGAAACCCTTGCTAATCAACTCAGTTGGCCTGTCGACCAATGGGCCACACTTCTCAGAGTCCATCTTACAGGTAGAGCTGCAGTCACACTCAGTACTTTGGCGTCTGAGAATGACTACTACACTCTGAAACAAGCAGTGTTGGACGCCTACCTACTTTCCACAGAAAGTTATAGAAGGAAATTCCGTGACCACCTGAAGGCAAGTACCACTACCTTCCTTGAGTTTGCTAACACGAAACGGAGGTATTTCATGAAATGGCTGGAAGCAGCACATGTCTCTACTTTTACAGAACTCGTCAACCTGATGCTTGTTGAAGAATTCTTGAGACGTGTGCCACCTCCTGTCCGCCTCTACTTAGCAGATAAAGAAGAAACCGACTACCTGAAGTGTGCTAAGTCGGCTGACACTTACAGCCTCATCCACCGGCTGACACCCGAACCATCCTCCAGTAAGAAGTCGTGGTACAGTTACGAGAAGGTGAGCCCCGATCAAGCTGGTTCACAACTGTACTGCAAGTATTGTAGACTCTATGGACATACCATAGACAAGTGTGGTAAGTCTCAATACAAGGGAACCACTGACCAACAACGACCCAAACCAACTCCTCCTAAGTCCGGTAAGCCTGTGATGAATGTTGGTGTTGATGTTAATGATCTTTCTCTTTTCAGTAACCACCTGTATACTGGAACTGTCTCTGCCAACGGTTCAAATCCGGAGGGACGTTTCAAATTGAAGATCTTGAGGGACACAGCGGCTCTACAATCGATCATCTTGAAGTCGGCTGTGCCCAACATAGTCTACACCGGGGAAACAGTCTTCATCACTGACCTCACTGCTACCACTCCATACCCTCTCGCCAGAGTCCACCTGGATTGTCCCTACGTGAACGGGGAAGTCCAAGTCGCCGTCAGGGAAAAGCCTTTTCCCATGCCTGGAGTGCAACTTCTCCTAGGCAACGACTTGGCAGAAGACCTGCAACCGACCAACCTGATCGTCATGGACAAACCCCAGGTGTGTAACTCTGTGCCAATAAACCCTATTCTTGAGTATGTTCCAGCAGAGGTTCAAGAGAGTGATGAAGTTTCTCCTCCGGTTCTCGTGACCACCCGTGCACAAGCCGCACGTCCACAGCCAGCTGACTCTACTGCTACCGCTGTCCCTCAAGACCCTCAGAAACTCCCCCCGCATCTGACCAAGTTGGAGTTCCGTAAGTTGCAGAGGGAAGATCTTACTTTAACACCATTGTTTTTCCAGGCTGAGACTCAACCCGACAGTATTCCTGGGTTCTTCCTAGAGAACGACTTGCTCTACCGCAGATATAGACCCAGTAAACTGAAGGAGGAGGACGATTGGGCCAACATCGAACAACTTGTGATTCCCACCAGCCTGCGGCCCACTATTCTACACCTGGCCCACGGAGCATTCTCCCACTACGGCTTCAACAAGACTTACCATGGGATTCGTCAAGACTACTACTGGCCAGGTATGGTAAATAACGTCAAACAGTACGTAAAACAGTGTCATACATGTCAGATGGCAGGCAAACCGAACGTCTCCATTCCCAGAGCACCACTGATTCCCATACAGGTGCCTGCGGAACCTTTCCACAGACTCATAATAGACTGTGTTGGTCCTTTACCTCGGACCAGTTCAGGTAACGCCTACATCCTAACCATCCTGTGTCCTACCACCAGATTTCCCATAGCAGTTCCAGTGAAGAACATCACGGCTGCTACGGTTATAAAACATCTATTGAAGATCTTCACTCAATACGGATTTCCCAGGGAGATTCAAAGTGACTGTGGCACCAACTTCACCAGTGATCTCTTCAAAAGGACACTGGAGGAGTTCAACATCAAACAGGTATTGTCCAGCCCCTATCATCCTGCTTCACAGGGTTCTCTTGAACGTAGTCATCAGACCATCAAAGCACTCTTGAAAAAGTTTTGTAGTGAAACCTCAAAGGATTGGGATAAGCAGATTGACCTAATAATGTGTATTTTCAGAAGTCTCCCCAATGAGTCCCTAGGAGTATCTCCTTATGAGATGCTCTACGGCCGTAAGTGCCGTACTCCCCTTAAGGCTTTCAAAGACTCTCTCAGAGATGCCACCTTCAGTGAGCATCAGAATGTGCCCCAGTTTCTTCAAAACCTTCAACACATTCTAGAGAGAGTCCACCGCTTTGCCCATGATAATCTATTGAAAGCCCAGGTGAGAATGAAGACTCATTACGACCAGACCAGCAAAGTAAGAAAATTCAAGCCGGGAGACTTCGTCCTTGCCTATTTCCCTATCCCAGGTTCACCTTTACAAAACCGATTTTCAGGACCCTACTGCGTCAAAGAGTGCAGAAGCAACAACACTTACGTCATAGAGACTCCAGATAGGCGGCGGAAGACCCAGCTGTGCCACGTCAACCTCCTGAAGCAATATAATGGTACTCCTCCCACTGTCTTGACTAACTATTCCACATTCACAGAACCCTACATCCACAGTGAGACCTTCCCAGCTTCTCCTCCCGAAAGCACTGACAAGGAGTCAGCGCTTTCTAATTCCGAAATCCTTAATGATCTTCCCAAATGCTTTCAGGATAATAATCGTGCTCCTTTGCCCTCTTCTAATTCCACTCTCACCTCGTCAGATAAGCCCTTCATCCTCCATGTCGACGCCAATGGTACCGACGATGGTGGTGTCGTGATGCAGCAACGAGGCGAGAAGAATACACCTGTCAGCGACTACTGCTACAAGGAACGACGGAACAATTGGCAAGGAGCTACTCTTCCTCATCCTGAAGCTTCAGCACTTCACTTCACACCTGAAAAGTGCTCGGTCCACCATCAATACGGACCACACCACCCTACACCTCCTGCAGCACGCCCACTTCTCATCTCAACGTCTTCTACTATGGGCTTGCTACCTGCAGAAATTCAACCTGGAGACACGCTATACCAAGAGTCTGACAACATCTTAGCCCATGATCTCTCCAGAGTTTATGAAGTAGAAGCGACTCCATCCATTACTCCACCACATAACGACGTACTTCTTCCAGAACCGCAGGCTTCGGGGGAGAGTTGTGACAATAATCTCCTTCAAGAGATTGAGCCTGCTCTTCCCTCCACAAACACGTCGTTGAAATTATATAAAACGACTATGGAAGACATGTCCAACAACAACAACAACACCAGCAAGGCTTGCCAGGGTGAGCAAAACATATGCAGCCAGCCACCTGTTCGGACTCAAACCACCAAACTACATGTTGATCGCTACCGGCTCCGCTGATTGGTCGCCGGTCTGGCTGCACCTGCACTCGCCCCCCCATACTACTTGATGTCTGGGGTCGCCCCAACCTCCTACCTCAGAATGTTCAGTGCTCTCGTTGTTACCACTCCTCCCGGCTAGACGCTAGCGTGTACTGAGGGAAGTGGTAGCTTAAGCCAATATTCCAGCACCTCCCATTTACTTGTATATTGCACTTCTTGTTATTTTGTCTTAACGTAACTTTTCATTGTGTCATCTAATTATTCTTATTATTTTGATTGATTTTATTATAAGAATTTGTTTGTGCATTTTATTCATGTTTTGATTTAATTAACGTAATTAAAATTTCATTGTTAAAGTTTACTTGTGTTTTGTGTGTCTTCTCCTTACCTTACCACAGACGAAGTTCCAGTTTTTCTATTTTTTTTTATAACTATGTGACGAGGCCATACCCCTAGCCTTAAACAGCCGAACACCAACGCGTTACCGTCACAATATATATATATATATATATATATATATATATATATATATATATATATATATATATATATATATATATATATATATAACCTGCTGCAGATGGGTAAGTTCTTAATCAAAATGGACTTAACCATATTATTATTTTTGAGCACCTGATTAATACTGAAATTTCTTCAGAGCTGGGGAAAGTTTTATTAGTCCCTCAGAATCCGGTAAACCAAATGGGTTTCTATACTCTGGTTTAGTTTTGGGAGTATGATTGTAGAATGTACATTTAGCTTGGCAAGCAAGACATCCAAGAAGGTTTTGGGATTTTGAAACTTCTTCCCAATTTCATATACAGTATCTTAGCTAGTCCTTCCTAAAAAAAATCAGGGCTGCAAACCCTCAGGGCTCTGAGAAACATTCCATAAAATACTGCCGAGTAGCTTTATTATGATGATTAGAGTAAATATTTAATTACTCTAATAATATACAGTATATAACCTAACAAAGTAACAGGGGTATTTGAAATTACATAACAAAAATAAATGCACCATCAATACTACCTTCTGTGCATCTCCTGTGGCAGCAGCCTTAACTAATTCCTCATTCAGATCCCCAGAGACATGGGCTTCAAATATCTTCTTCAAAAGAGCACTTAATCTCTCTGGAGAAAAAACAGAAATAGGAATTAACTCAAAATCACCTTTTTAAACAAAGCAAATGATATTTAATAATCAATATTTATATAGAATACAGACCATGCACATGAAAGAATAACTAATTCTATCAAATTCATTTTTTAACACTTTCACTGCCTGATGACGCTGTTGACGTCATACAACCAAAATACTGAGTATGCTCGATGACGCCAACTGCGTCAATAATTTAAATTTTTTTTAGAAATTTCATTTATTATCCGAATACTATGGAACTTTTTTTAAAATGTGCGCCGACTTCTACCCATTCTTTGCATACCTCATGTGGCATCCTGACCCCACCGTGTGGGCACCCACCCATGCTGGAGGCTCACTGTTTTTGTGACCTCGCTTGTAACTTCACTCATGACAGCCGCGACATACTCGAGTCAAAAAGTTTCCCTATTCTGGTTATTTTATCTCAGGTATCTGTTGTTACCTAATATATAATTGACTTTAAGATGGATACTGATCAAGAACAAAGCCAATCACTGAAGAAAGCATTGAAAAAAACACATGAGGGGAAAAGTTATTGGGTTTTCGTCAAAGTACAGAAAAGTGAGACTTACATGTTCTTATATGCAAATATCCCTTTACAGCATTCTATTGTGAACAATTTGATACCAAATTGAACAACGTAACACAAAAAATTGAAGTAAAAAAGCTGGAAAGAAAATAAACATTGGAGTGGTGAGCTCATGGGCAATGCTCGGCCTACCTTGCAGTGCGCAGCTCCCTCCTCCTCTCCCTTCCTCTCTCTCTCTCTCCCCCCCCCTCCCTTTCTCTCTCCTTCCTTCCCCCCCCCCCGACGCTCACACACACACCTACAAACTCAAGAACAAGACGCCATAGATTCAAGATAAGGAAACAAGGTGCCAAAACTATATTAGAAAGTTCTCTTTTGCAAACAGAGTGGAAAAAGTTAACTGAGAAGGCAGTGGATCCCAAAACTCGGTAGTTTCAAAGCATCAAATGACAAAGTGTACTTAGAAGACGGGAACCCACAAGCATAGCTGCACCCTATAACTACACTTTGGTAATTACACCCTCTCACACTCTCACTCACACTAATATGCATACAGTATATTGTTACCTGATAATACTCTTGCCAGTTTATAAAAACTTTTCCACAATACCGAATAATAAAAGTTTATAAATGGCTCCAAGAAATACAATATCCAGTATAACAAAATATAATTGTAAATATAATAATGTCACAAAGTACACCAGTAAGGTAACCAGTACAGTACTGAATTAAATATTTTTCACCCTGTGACCCATTGAAAAACATCATGACTTTGAAGGATTCTTCCCTATACAATACTCCCTTTTATATTATATTGTGAGACCTTATGACTCTGTCATAGTTAAGAGTACAGTATATGGTTCAAAACATTACCACAACACTTAAATCTTACCTCCACTAGCAGCACCAGGAACAGCACCGTCAGACGCAACCTTGGTAACTGCTGCAGGATTGTATGTCCAAGAGGTGCCACAAACTTCAACTTTGAGATCATTGTCATGGTATATTTGCTGTACTCGTCCAATCTTGCCTAAAGTCTGTTTCACAACAACAAGAGTACACACTGTGTATTTAATTTTGCAGGATGCAATGAAGCAAAACAAGCATGTCTGGATAAAAGTTTGAACCATTAAAAATGAAGAGCCAGAGTCAGAGTGACATATTTGTTTCACTCAATGAGTCAGACCCACTGGTTGACACAGATGCATACAAGTATGACTGGCTAACTGACACTAGATAAGGAGTATGAGTAGTGAACTGAAACTAGATATTTGAAGTAAGACAGGCTCACTGACACATAAGATATAAACAGTACAACTAGGCAATTAACATTGAACATAGAAAGAATAACTGGTTCAATGACACTAGAAAAATCCAGCTTTGAATGTAATGAAACACCTATTTCTTGTACTCCCTTCAGAGCTACTCGCTTCGATTTCTCAAGCCTTAGGAACCCCATCAGGCTCTTACAAACCATGAGTGTCTACCAGAGATCAGTACCAGAATTTTGGCCCCCTGCTCAATAGAGACAAGTGAAGATTGGAATGTGCAGACCTAACCAGGCTGAAACAAATAACTCACCCTAAAAATAAGCAATTACATGGAAAACAGCTGATGTAAATTACATACACACTCATTATTCAGAACCAACCACTAGTTAGCAACATTCACCATTAGATGGTAGCCCCAATGATTTGAGGTCAGAGTCAGCTGCACTAATCAGTCATATACTGTATCTGGCAATTACCCCATGAGTAGTTACAGGATAAGAACTACTGTATACTCATGGTGTCCCACCTACTGACACTTTTGGCATACACCACCTTCTCACTTAACTACGGTGGTGACGGCGTGGGAACTACAGTGGTTACGGTGTGAGGACTACGGTGGCGAGGGTGTTTAACTTGTTCCAATTGTCTACCACTCTGTTTGCAAAAGGAAATTGTCTAATATTTTTTTACATCTTTGTTTTCTTAGTTTGAATCTATGACTTCTTGGTCTTGAAGTTACAGGTTTCAATTTTGTAGATTCCTGTTGCTATTTTCCACATAATGATCATATTGCACCTTTTTCTTCCATCTTCCAGCTTTGCCAAATCTAACACTGCTAGCCTCTCCTGGTAACTCTTGTTTTTGAATTCCAGTAGCCATTTCATAGCATGTGACATACTCCAGGTGCCCTACTGCTCTTCAGGCTTCACAGCTCAGCTAAGTGTTGGCTTTCTTTCAGATTTTGTCCAGTGCAGAGGCCTGTGCTGCTTCTTGTTCCTATTAAGCTTCACATCCATGTTTATTTCAGCCACACTGTTTAGAAAGCTTCAAGTCTGAGTGCATCTTGACTGCTTGTGGCTGAAAGTGTACAAGAGTCTGCCCCTAGTGTTTCCTCCTCTCAAGGTTCTTCAAATCAGGTAGTGCAAATGCTTTCAGTTCTCTGCTGAACCTGGTGGTTGGGAGGGTTGGGGTGTTTCTCTTTTGAGGGTGGAATATGGGTTTGTTTCTGGCTCTTGTCTTTCATAGTGGTTTGTCTCTTCTTTCTCCCTCGTGTTCCCAGTTCGTGAGGTGGCAAAAGCAGAGAAAAACCAATGGAACTTTTAGAGTTAGCCCTTAACTGTATGCTGGGAAGCTCAGCGAGTTGCACAAAAGTCTAACATAAAAAGAGGAGAGGCACCAGAAAGAGACGTAAACTTATTACAAGTGTTCATGACCAACTGCTACAGTTTCACCTCATAAAACAGCAGGATTCAACTGCCCAGGTTCACAAGAGACTGCTAAAGACAGAACTGGGAGGCACAATCCTGTAATGCAGCTGCTGTCTACCAAGCCGCTGATATACTTAGGCACAGTTCTGAGAGGCACAGAACGCATGCAAAATATTGAACAATAACAAGGAATGGCCCCTCACGAAACTTAAGATTCCAGGGATAGTGAACACCACTTAGCTTGCCAAGGCCGTGGATTGCCAGGGCTACCCTTCTGGTGGTTGGCAGGTGCATCTAGACAATTTCTCCTCTGTGATTATTGTTTGCATTGCTTTCAAAAAGGTTTCACATTTTCTTCAAGCAGTTTCTTGCTCTGGAGTCTTTTTGTTTTGAAGTGAAACTTTCTTGATGCCATAGTGTGGTGATCTATGATTCGCAGACACTCTCTGCCTCTGAGGGCCAGATTCTGGTCCTGGTCCTCAATAGGCATTTGTGGGTCTCCAGAGGACTGGTGTATTCCCCAAAGTTTGGCTGCTTCCAAGATGTAGCATCGTAGAGCTATTAAGTGTGTCATCCCAGAAAACACTAATGTGTACTTATACTGTATATAAATTTTACTTTAAATTAAATTTTCTCTAATACAGTAAATATTTTCTTTACCACTAAGATGTTGAATTGGATGTTTATCCAAGATCTTTACTTTTAGCCATCATAAAGCAAACACTGACTAACGTTCATTAACTGACCGAGAAAATTTTATCCATATACTACTAAAAGAAAGAAGTTTGCATATATATAATTAAAGGTTCACTCTTAGGTTAACTCTGCTTAAATTTATGAGAATACTGAACCCACAGAGATATACTCACCGGGACCATAGCCTCAGCCCACTCCCCATGGCCACGCTGAAGGATCTTTATTCTCTCCAAGTCAGCACATATCTGCACAAGGTCCCCAACACTAAACTGCTGACTAGTGCTAGTATCAGTACTAACCACAACACCACCGCCAACTTTTGTCAACACAGCTGGATTGAACGTCCACCTTATTGATATGAGAAGAGTGAAACAAATTAAATATCAATCACAAGACCAAAAATTCAACTACGGAAAATATAATTTTATTATGGCAAATCACAAGAAATACAGTATTCACAGGTAGGAATATCTTCAAATAAAACATGATGTGGTGAAATGGTTATGGCATAATGTAATGAGTACATGATAATAATGATAGTGAGTTTGGTGGTGAGTTTCATCACCCATAAGCCAATAATTCTCCAATAACCTTATAATAGTTTCTGGTCATATGAACATGACAAGAATTCATTTAACCCTTAAAGTGCAGTTATCATCATGCATTGATCTGTTGATAATCATCAGTTGAATTTAGTTATTATCACTTGGTTTTCTTATTTTGTAAATGGTGTAAATATGGCTACAATACTGTTACATGGATTTAAATGATGTAAATATGGTTATAATACTACTACATGGATTTAAATGATGTAAATATGGTTATAATATTGCTACATGGATTTAAATGATGTATATATGGTTATAATACTGCTACATGGATTTCAATGATGTAAATATGGTTATAATACTACTACATGGATTTAAATGATGTAAATATGGTTATAATATTGCTACATGGATTTAAATGATGTAAATATGGTTATAATACTGCTACATGGATTTAAATGATGTAAATATGGTTATAATACTACTACATGGATTTAAATGATGTAAATATGGTTATAATATTGCTACATGGATTTAAATGATGTAAATATGGTTATAATACTGCTCCATGGATTTAAAAGAGTTAGCCTAGACCAATGACAAAAATTCTGTTATAATTTTTAATTGTTTATAAAGAGATGAGGGGGTAACATGTATTAATGGCTTGTGGTTAAGGTTAAATCACAATTTGGTGCTTCCCGCTAGTTTTTTAATTATTTCTGGATGATATTACCAGACAGAAAAGCAGCAAGCAAGTGGATTGCAAATCACTTCTTTTGAGCTGTGCTAGGAACAGATTTATATTTAATATAGGTGTATTTATTACATTGAAGGCCTCTATACAGAACTCAATCATTGTTTTTGTCAATTACATACTTTGTGTAAATAAATCGAGTTATTCCACACATTGTGTAAAAGTGAAACAGCGAATATATAAACAAACTTGAACAAATAGCCCTATTCCTTACAGAGTGAGTCAACAAAATTGTGCCACTCCATGTTCACACATCAATGACTCCCTCATCACGATTCTCTCAAAGTGCATGAAATTAAAAGAGACTACGATATTTGTGGGCGATTTTATTTATTTTTTGCATTTTTCTTACTTTTTATATGTAAATGTATAATTTTATAAATATCTTTTCTCTCTCTTCTTTTTCCTTCTTAGGAAAGGAAAAACAACTATGATGCAACTCAAGTTGCACAGAGTTGAAATGAATTGCCACATTCCCAGGATTAAATATACTGTACTAATAATATATACACTCCTCGATTAATACAGTATTGTAGAATGCAGATTCAGTGATGTCTGGGTAAGCAATTCAATATGGAGTTTCAAAATCTACAGGAGAATTTAAGCCATCTGCATACTGAACATTAATTAAAGTAGATAGTCCACACAAGTCGATTAATCACATACGACTTGGATAATAGTCCAGGACAGACCGAAATGTCATTTCTTCATCTTCTGGCGTGTGGTTTGGTCATTAATCCACACAAATTTGCAGATCTACCACATCCTCGGCAGAATATTACATTCATTTGCATGCAACAATCTCATTGTACAAAGTTTTAGCATTATATTCTTTGACATTTGTATGTGAAAATATTCTGAACTTTATTACAGTAGGTGCTGCATTTGTAGTTGGAAAATGCAGGGAGCACTATATACAGTATTAAACATTAAAATGTTATTTTATTGAATTGAATAGAACAAAAATAGAGAGCACTGAGTGTAATGAAATGCTTCTTTCTGAGCAGCACCTTAGTAGCTCCCTAGAGCTTATGACATTGCCACCACAAGGCTCCACCAAACATCAGGCTTCTGAGATTTTCTCAGCCTACCAGAAAGCAAGACAAATATCTGGCACCTTAAGAAAAAAGTAAGGTAGTATGTGGGGATCAACGATCAATCCATTACCAAAGTAGACTGTGCTAAAAGTCAAAAGGCCCCATTGAATATCCCACATCTCTATGGGAACAATAAAGATTGTCAAACTGACTGATACTTGGAATGGGCAAACTACCCGTGCCCCAACTAATCTCTATTGCTATTAGGTGGCAGCCCAAGCTGTACAGGCAAGATGTGAAGAATGACAGGAACATTGAAACTACCAAGTTTAAACAGAAAGGAGAATTATATTACAGTCAACACTACTTCTTTGTCAACGCCTTCAGTGGTTCCCTGGGACTTTCTCAAAACATTTTGTGACTCCTCATCAGCATAGATGACAGATGGGACTGTAGTGATCTGCAAAGCTGGGGCAAATTCAAACCCCAAACCATGGGAGGGAAGAGGATGGGAAAAGGCATTAAGCTCAAATTGCGTAGGTGTATTAAACATATCCCCAACCTAGAGAAAGAGACTCTCCAGCCAGGGGACTATACAATAAGCTGGGTTAAACAGCATTTACAGTCCCTTCTCCAAATATCTTCACCAACACTTAGACTCTGGCCCTTTCTCCTAAGCCCAAATTCAAACCAGAGCCCTAGTTTGGATTTGCAAAACTGGCAAATATAAGGACGGCATTTACACCCTGAGGAAATATTTAGAATAATATTTACAAGAATGTTTGGATCAGTTCAAGAGTATGCAGCACCAGTATTGAATTACTATCTTGTGAAAAGAAAATAAGACAAAATTAAAGAGTATCATTAATTTATACAAGAATAATGCAACAGATCAGGGAGCTCAGTTATGCGAACAGAGAGCCTAATCTAACAACATTAAAAGAGGAGAAGGCCCAGAGATGACATGATCCTGACATCTAAGATACTGTACTGAAAGAAACAGGTTAAGTTGGCAGATATTTTTTTCAAGGGCTGCCTGACAGCTGGGTGGACAGCGCTTCGGATTCGTAGTCCTGAGGTTCCGGGTTCGATCCCCGGTGGAGGCGGAGACAAATAGGCAAAATGTTTCTTTTATCATGATGCCCCTGTTACCTAGCAGCAAATAGGTACCTGGGATTTAGACAGCTGCTACGGGCTGCTTCCTGGGGGGGGGGGGGTGTAACAAAAAGGAGACTTGGTCGAGGACCAGGCCACGGGGACGCTAAGCCCCAAAATCATATCAAGATAACCTCAAGATGAGGGACCACAGATTGAGGTCAGTGCAGGTGGTAAACATGTGAAACATGCTTGAATATGATTAAGTGGAAACCAGCCCGATTCAGTTTCAAAAAGCAAGTATTTCAAAGCAGAAGAGCCTTAGGAGGAAAAATACACTGGGTACAATAGCTATCTCCCATCCCATGAAAGTGGTAATGTGATAACGATAATGCCATAGATACTATGTCTACCTACCTACCACAAGATAGGTAGACACAGTTGGGAAAGTACAGTTAGGCAAGTACTCCCAAGAAAGCTTTGATATTACATATATACATACTTGATATGTACAATATGAAATTCCCTTCACACCAGTCTACTCTTAAGCAACTTCAAACATTCTTACACACATGTTCGTCATACACTTGGGGATCAGTTTTATCATAATTAAAGGAATATAATAACAGATCAATGAACCTTTGCCGACTTTACCGAAGGCAAATATTAACATACAACTACAAATAGATAAGCAATAGCAAATAAAAAAATCGGAAATTTTACCTATTTCCAGAAGGATAAGCAACAACAATATCATGATCTTCGTCGATGCCGACCACAGTACCCGTGGTGCCGAGACACTCAAACATGCCATCCGTCCACCCACCATGTCCATGTTGCAGAGACTGTACAATCTCCAATTCCAGGTCAACATTTACCTAAAATTCAAAAAGTTTTTGAGGAATTAATACACATCTTCAAAATTAAAAACTAAATACAGTCCAAATTTTAAAACTTAAAAACCTAACACAAGTTTCCATATAATTTAATTAATACCAACTGGTATGTAATATTATTGAAAATACAGTGAGTATTACACTATTAAATCTTAATTGTATTACCACGATAAAACATTGCTGTTTGAACAAGAATATAATATTTTTTTTTAATAAAAGAAATTACCTTTCAAACTGAACAAAATAAAAAATATATATATAAAAACACACAATGAGTACTAAGAAATAAATTAATAACATCATAATATTACATAAATATGTATGATTATTAATCAAAATTAGTCGAGATCACCTGTCCTCGGCCATTTAAGCAACTTTAGGAGTTGGCCCTTTTGGTTGTTCCCCAAGACAAAATCTGCTGACCTCTTTCTTAGGATCTAGTGCAATCAACATTCTAGTTTGGCACTGTGGGGACGAACTTTTCAAATTGTCCTCATCAAATCACACTGGTGATCGGGTGACATGAGAATACTCAATCTATCCAGCTCGATCAAGATTTTCAGGTGGATCTATGTACTTGCATCTGACTGGAACCACAAGCTTCTTGTTTGTGGCATAATTATTGGATCATGACTTTTTGTGGTAGACACTGCCTGTAGACTAAAACCACTGAGACTATTTATAACTCTTAGTCCAGCTGGTAGCTTTTTGGAAATTTGATATATTTGTGTGCTAAACAATTTTCCTAGCTTCCCTGTGGGTGGTTCAACCCTGGTTCCCAATCTTGTTCTTCATAGTGCTCCAATTTTATTTAATTGCTTTTGGTAACAATTTAGAGTGACCCAACCTTCTGCCTTTAAGTGATTGCATGCAACAAGCACTAGGTGGTTATTTTGAGCGAGATAATATCTCTAATGCTTGCCAAGCAACATAAACAATCGTACAGTTCAGATGATAGCTTTCAGAATGAGAAAGATGGAATGAATCTTTCGGGTCTGATTGACACACTGGTGAGAAGACAATAGTGCTAGAAGATAACAAATTGCCATCTCTGGCAATAAGAGCCAGAGTCAATGGCATGATTTGGTCTCGGAAGTCAATCAGGTATGGAATGGGGCCTACCTTTGGCAAACAACCAAGTGGGGCTGCTAATTTTTCCACCAAATTTGGAGAGAGCCAATTAGATCCTATGTACCTAGACTTGGCCCTCATTGACTAATAATGATGAGGAAATAGGTCCTTCGGGACCTTTCCGATGCCCATCAATCCAACCCGCCAAGCAAGAACTACTCTCAGAGTGTCCTAAGGCAAAAGGATTCACCCAGGATGCTAATGCTTCTGTTCACAGAACTTTTCCAAGAAGCCTACCAGCAGTCAACCAGTAGACTAGGGTATGACTGGAATTCAGCATTCATTTTCAGAACCAATTGCTGAGCTGACTGCTTCATCATCTCGGTTTTTACCAAATTAAGAGAGTGGAAGTGTACAGCTGTTTGTGATACCACACTCATCAGCACTGATCGATCCATTTTCACTTCCAATATCTCCAGCTTCAGTCCCCATTTTTGCCTTACCCCCTACACAAGTATGTGTAGTGGAACTACTTGTGGACGCATGCATACACAAGAGCGTGTGGGCAAGATAGCCACACTACCAACTTGACACTTCCTATGGCATGTGAGCGGGTTGCGAGTCATGTTTCTAACTTGGACCAATTTCATCATGATCCTAAAAATGTGAAGAGTGAGATATACCACTATGTTTTAATTGTGTAGTGTTTATATATACCAGTACCATGCAGAGCACTCTAGCATCCAGTCTCAGCAGGTGTAAGCATGCAAGCATTCATGAGGGGTCCTCTTGTAACCAGAGATCTGTTACTGAATTTGCTTCAACCTCAGTTCAGGATGGTATGTAGCACCCATACATGGGCACTTCAAGGATATAACTACCAGAGCTCATCCTTTGTGTTGCCTGTCAGCTACATTATCTCAACAGTGTACACGTGAAGCTCTACACTGATTTGTGTGTTGAAACCCATTTTTGCCATTTGTCTTTTGTGTATGTAATTATGATTACCCATTATTAGCATTCCTATGAAGGTACATTCTCCTTTTACATTCTCACTGTTGAAGTGTTGAAGTACTACAAGTGCTAGAGTTCTCATATTGCAGTAGTTTATTGCTTTAAATGCCCCAGACTACTTGGCATCAAAGAGTCTGTCAAGTTGTGCCTATTTGATTTTGTATTATTCAATATGACCTGGTGAGGACAGTTTGAAAAGTTCCCTGCTGCATAGGAGTGTAGTATCAACCTGCTTTGATTGTACCAGATGCTAATCAGAGGTCACTGGGATCTTGCTTAAGGGATCAACCAAGCATACTGCTCAGACAAGTGCTTCTCATATGCACTCAAAGCCTTGTTTAATTTTCTGTAAGTGGAATATAAAATATATTAACTTTCTGGAAAAACCTATGGTATGAATTGAGAGGTCAACCTATACAATGATACCACAAGTTTATAAATGAAATACCTATAGGTAGTAAGATATTAACAAAAGTATGCTGGTGGCTGTAGTTTCACTTATCCAACGGATCAGCCACCTTGCCACTGTGGGGATGGCTAGATAATCCCCCAAGTTTTTAGGTATTTTCACTAAAATAAACATGCATATTATATTTATATTACACCTACCTATCTTTGTAATATCTTTATAATGTAAATGAATATGGTAACACATTTAATCAAGTCAGATCCGTTGGCGTTGGCATAATCTCCTGAGGTCCTTGAGATTATAATTCAGTGCTAGATCACCTGCCAACACTGAACGGCTCCCTGGAGCTATCCAGAGATAGTTCCAGGGAGCCGAAGGGACTTCCCACAGAGAGGTTGTACTATACTTAAAATGGTAAAAATAATTTTACAACTCCATTTTCACCTAATTTGATCATGTTTCATTATGTTGCAGCCATTTACATTCCACATTTCTTTATCCATCCTGAATAACATATATATATATTTTAACTACCTCCTTGATTCTAAATAAAGCCACAATACTCCTCTCTCTTGCTAGTACAGTATTGTTGTGACAAATGTACATATTGGTCCCAAGACTTATGGATGAGCTACACTGGTCATCACTTTTCCTTGCCTTCACTCAACTTTTCCCTAATACTAACACGCATACAAAAGTAAGTTGTAATAATTAGTGTCACTAAATTGGTATTGTCCACGTAAAAAATCTAAACAACAAACATGTATCTTCACAACCAATACGAATGCATATTTTGCCTGAAGCCTCATTCTTCCAACTATTTTTATATGATCATTTAATACCACCAGAAATATTTCATGACACTTCCCACTAAAAGAGCATCAAACTTTTAATAGTGCTCTTCTGTAATAAATAATACAATTACAGTAATAGATATTACCTACTTAATATATATAAGATATAATATACCTCATACATAAATACCTAATGTATAAATATATCTTTCATAAGAGAAGCATAATTTCAATTATGCAAGATTCCTGAGGTCACCAATAATAGGAAATTTATATCAATTTTCAAAAGCAATTAAATTCTAATCCAAAAATTACTGCATGAAGAAAATGTTTCATTAAATATAGAATTTGTACTTACACATATGACTTTCTAATGATGCATACTACGACTATAATAAACATACTACTGCACGTAATTCCCACATTACGTAAAGTACTTACGGTTCAGTCAATTCGAATTTTTACAATACATTCAATATTCGCAAATAATCAAACAGCTCTATGGGACATTCTGAATAGTTACAAGTCACTATGATGCAGTCTGCAGGCAGGGAGACAGGCTGGAAGACAGACAGACGGAGACAGGCTGGAAGAAAGGCAGGGAGACAGACAGGAAGAAAAGCAGGAAGAAAGGAAGACAGGCTGGAAGACAGGCTGAAAGACAGGCAGGAAGAAAGGCAGGGAGACAGGCTGGAAGACAGGCTGAAAGACAGGCTGGAAGAAAGGCAGGGAGACAGGCTGGAAGAAAGGCAGGGAGACTGGCTGGAAGAAAGGCAGGGAGACAAGCTAGAAGGCAGGCAGGGAGGTTTTAGGTAGTGTTGTTGATGGGAACAAGACTAAACAAGCTCATTACAGTACTTTAATATAATAAATGCACATGCTTCTCCACATTAATGGGAATAAAATCAGCTCTACAAGATGAATCAGGAGAGCAAAAAAAAAAGTGTTTCCACACATAAAATATCAAAGCCTGTACATTGGATCTTAAAATAAATTATCAACTTGATTTTTTATTAACGTCTCAGTAATGGCTAGACATTTAAACACTTAACATTCAGTTGATGTTTTTTTAGTAGCAGCCAAAATATATCATAAATATTTCAATGACACTAAAAACATGTCGTCTGATCTCAGAAGTTCCAACACTCACTCCCTTAAACACTGTTCTGCTTTTGTACTTTCATGACAAAACTCTTGAAATAAATAAACACACCTAACTAAAGCATCAGTAGACCAACCAGAGAACACCTTAGCCAGCCACAACACCACTGATAGAGGTTACTCAGTCTGCCAGTGTATAATTTGTCTTAGCTTTGAAAATTACCCGATGAAAAAAGTATGAAAGGTATATTGTATTTATTTTCTTTTTAAAGCTATATATACACCAATGTGAACATATTTTCACTTTTTAGATGAAAAAATAAATGAAGAATGTTGAAATACTTAAACATTAGTTTATCTATTATACCTACTTTTGCATCTATACTCTAGGCCATTCATTTTGTGAACATTGACAAAACGTCAGGATAGGTCAAAAGTATCCAACATTACAAGAAGAAATGAGGAAAGCAGAGATGCACCCGTGGCATTCTGCCAGTGTACTGGCATGAATCTGGGAAATACTAAAGTACTGATACTACAGTACTGATATACAGAAGACAAGAAATTTAAATGATAAAATTATTCTGTGTGAA